ATGTATAACGTCTGAGCCTTAGAAAGGAATGTTTAAGGTAAATACTTTAATATACTAGCTAAATTATGGGTTTTAGATATTCAATTAGAAGTTAGTGGCAATAATTTTAAACACACTAGGTAAAGGGGTCTATTTTGCCTTTGAGGTATTAAATCTTTATTATTTTGACCTGGATAGAATCTTCTTCCAGGGAACAGGGCAAAGGTTACTACAGTTAACTTTTGAATTCTGAAAGATAAATGATTCAAGGCACTATTATGAGCAGAGTTTATGCATTAAAAGAGGATTAAACCAAGTTAAGTAAAGAAGTTCACCTTTTGTTCCATATTTAAATAAAGTAAAGACTTACTGGTATTCTTCATTCGAAATGCTTGCATCTTACATATTATGTTCAAATCATATATGATAGCGATGAAAAACAATGAAAAAATTAGAAAAGTTATATACTACTGGTTCAAATACACACAATTCTCATAAATACCTTGAAGAAGCTCCGAAGTTGGGTCATGATTGTTAGGAAACCTACAAGTTAAACTTAGAAGACGCACGAGTCTAAAGTGTAAGGGCTTTGCGTAAGCGAAATTCCTAAATCCGTATGTCTTAATAATTAACTAGCAACCATTTGATTGCAGAAAAAGCCAATGAGAAAAAATAGGTTCCCGTTACTTTCATAGCTGCTTCCTGCGTGAAACTAAAACTTGATGTAAGAATAGATAGTAAAAATAGAATCTGTCAAGCAAATGATTCATTTAATAAGCGAATACTTACACTTATTTATGATAGATATGTTTAATTAAGAATTATTGCCTAAGTGAATTAGTTTCGAATGATTGTTTCTTAGGACTGAGGGAAAAAATGCTTAGGGTGAAGTGAAGAGGATACTTGATTCCTGCATTTAAGCTCAATTCTCAAAAAGGTCATTCTTATCATGAGTGAACAGCAGTTTCAATGTTGCCTCTGCAGGATCCCTAGTGGCATTTGAATAGTCGAAGAGTATTTTAAATGGAAAAATATATATACCAAGCCACACGATTGTAATAGTATTGCATTAAATGACAAAGTAAGTCTTAAACAAACCAAATCTCTATTGAATACTTTTGTATTTATAAGCAACAGCATGTTTTTAATTAACCTCTTAAAATTATCAGCTTTTTGGTCAGCCAAAAATGTGTTGTTTTGCCATCAGGAATTGAATTTTCGTCAAAGTGTACTTGTAATAAGTGATTCTTTTATGCAATAAAAAAGGGAAAATTTAATGGGATAAAATTGCAATTTTTTAGTATGGAGGATTCATTAGACACATCAAATGAACTTAAGTTGATGCAATTTCTATTTATAGGCAAGGGGCCTAAAAAGCAAGGTAGCCACTATCCAGAAGCAAAAAATGTTGCTGATGAAATGTGGCCATGTATGGCAACTTCATCTAATGGCTTAGTTCATTATTTTGCTAAAACACGGTTGCAATTTTTCTGCCCCCTTTGACCAAGAAAACGTAAGGGAGATGAATCAAATATGATAGACTGGCCATATTTTATAGGGATAAAAATTGAATAGCTAAAAGAAAACAGTAAAATTCATTTGAAATGTTCTGTCTTTTGATGAAAATATTAAGAATATAAGTAAAATTATTGTCGCGGGCTTTGAGCACTGTATAAAAATGTCTTGATCTATTTTTCGCAACATGCTTGTGTTGTCAGAGCGACTCAGATTAAAGAAGTGTCTCTAAGTTCTCTGCACTATGAATCATGCTAATTTAAAGCGCCGGACCTCGAAATTTAAAATTTACCGATTCTATGGCCAGAATATGAAGGCTATTAGTGTTACAATGGTAGAGGACTCCGGTCAAGGTGCTTTCAACTAGGTTGATCTGATAACAACATCACGTTGCGTAAATTGAGTTAAACCACTTCTACGGTAGCCTGCATTACAATATGGGATTTTTTACTGGCTCAAATTAAACATGATGTAGGTGATGAATAAACTAATAAGCTCATATTTGCTATCTTAAGTAGGGATCGACGCAGCCTTTATTTTATGTGTAATATAAAAACAATAGATAAAGTTTTGTTGTCTACACACTAAATTCAATCGTTAATATAAATCGACTTGTTTGGGAAACGGATCGCACTCGAGCTTACTCTGACATCATTATGCCTGTTCTTCGGCGATATGCTCGTCTTCGCTGGCAGACGATGAGCAAGGCGGTAAGACCAAGGAAAAATAGACACCCAAGTGCAACTGCCAGACCTCCACCAACTACTACTAAGTTTTGCAAAGAGGCTGTAGAGCCAAGCGTTGACTTGTCAGCGAACACAGATGCGATTCCTTCGATGTCTGGCAACGACGTGACAGGTTCTTCAAGCGCATCAGTCTCCGAATTGAACGGAAAACTTGGGAGGCCGCTTGATAGACGCAGTCGTGTAACGAGTCCAGCTGGCATCGAGGCAAAGTCATAATGGGCAGTATTGTTCATTGATAATGCTTCCCAACCAACACCAGAAGCTAAAAGTGATGGTAAAATTGTTGAATCAGTTACTCTCAACTAATGATCTTGTAGGTAATTACAATACTTTCCGGAAAGTTGGAAAAAAAGTAGTATGCAAAATAAAAGATCGGTTTTTTAAGAAAATTATTCTGACAATGAGAATATTAGTTGAATTATCCCAGATTTCACTGAATTTAATAAGCAACACCTCTAAAAATGCACTTGCATCCAATTTGGACTACAAGTTCAACTTCACATGGGTCTCATCAACAATCCCATTATTAATGAGACAATGAAGAGGCCTGGTTTGTCTTGAAATTCACGCCTGCCCTATGATCCATTGGTACCCGTGGCAGTGTCGAGAAGTGTTAATGTATTAACAAAGACGAAGGAATATTTTTCCACTTAAGTAATTTAGTACCTGATATCAGGCAACTTTTCATATTCAAAGCAGAAGCGGATACTCGGCTTTGCTAGATCCTTCCTAGCAGTGTGAATACTAGAGCATTTGCCCCCTTAGTGACATTGAGAGAATATGTGAATGCTGAGAAGTAGCAGGGTATTTTTACTTTGTTGCTTAATTGGGAGTTCGTTTTAATGATGAATATGATATTTTTTCCCCGATGAGGCTTCTCATTCTGGTAAAGCAGTGTCTTCAGTAATAATATAGCAGATATACTATTAATATGAAATTGATTTGGCATTAGACTTAGCTCGCTTTATTTAAGACTTACAAATCCTACTCTTCACTCCTTCCTAGTGGACTTTGGGCTTTAAGCAGGAAAAAAGCCCCGTCTTAGACTTTATTAAGAGACACATCCTTTGCCATATGATGCTGCAAAGATTCAAGAAACTGGGCTCCCTAAAAGCCGCCAGTATTTCAATATCGTCTTGACTTTATTCGCAAATGCGCGGGTGGCTGTCAGAAAGAAGATCAATTTCAATTTCTAGAAGGAACCTTTTCCTTGAAATTAATGCCCTCCGAGTCAGCCATAGGCGCTTGGGAGAGTATAATTTTAACTAAAATGTCAGGTGTCTCCATCGGGTGTCAACTAGATTTGATTGTAAAAATGTCTTGGTTAGATGTAGATTGATAAGAAATAGCTTAATTGGTCATTAGTTTGAATCGTTAATGCTCATAAAAATCAAGATTAATTGATCCATCACAAGTTTCATAGTGAATATAGATCATACATACCGTCGTTCATTCGAAAGGCAATAATCGGTGACCATGGGCTTGACCCAGCCCAGTTTTTAGCACGCATCTGTACCAAGTAGACTGCTGAGCATAGCAACCCATCAAGGTAGGTGGACAACACTTCGCCCAAGTCACTGATGGTACCAGCACTTAGTGGCTGAAGCAACTGCTGAGGCAGCAATTGTTGTGGTCGAGCAGACTGACTCCGCCATGTTTCTGCTGCTCCAGGGGGTGGTATGCTTGCCAGCGTCAGATAGCGCAGCTCGTAACTAGTCACCGTCCCTAATGGGGTTCCGATCGTTGATTGTCTGACAATAGGTTCAGCCATTGGTGCCCAAGAAATCCTGAAACCACAGTCTTTCGGGCTGGAAGGCTTCAGTTTGCGAAGGTCAGATTTGGGTAACACGCGAATACCTGAAGGAAAATGTACTGGCCCTATTTTCGTAAAACATAAGGAATTATTGGGCTACTCAAGCATAAAGATGCAAGTTTATGTTAAAGCTTACATAATTTATCTATGCAAATGGATCTATCTACGATGGAAATCAAGAAAATGGAGGAGAATAATAGTAGAAAAATCCTTATAGTCCATAGAATTATTCGTAAATCTTCAAATAAATTTCCATATCAAAATGCAAATTACATGCTGCCATTCAAATATAAAAGGTATATTAAAAACAACTACTAAACTTTTATCAAACAAACGTGCAAGCTTCCGTAAAAATTGGATTTTGCCATACTTATCTTTTAGCTACGAGTTATTCAGACAAGGTAGA